CATACGTGTGAGGCAAGCGCTCTACCACTGAGCCCGAGCCCCAGCCCCAGCCCCAGCCCCAGCCCCAGCCCCAGCCCCAGCCCCAGCCTCCAGTATATAATCATTGAGTAAATGTTGCATGAAAAGGTGCAAAAGGTGGGCTCCGTGGTGATTACCTGTAATCCTAGTGACTTGAGAATTAGAAGCAGGAGGATTGTAAGTTCAAGGACAGCCTGGCCAACTTAGCAAGACGCTGCCTCAAAAATAAAAAAAAAAAAWGAATTAAAAAGCAGGTGGGCTGTGGTGTAGTTCTGTGGCAGAGCATCCCTGGTTTAATTCACAGTAATGCAAAAATTTTTAAAAAATGTATGACAGTCCCAAAGAAAATGGCTTGTTTGATCAGCAGGTAGCTGTAGGAGGATGAAGAGAGAAGAAAACTGATAGAAAGTGTGGGCTTGCTAATAAGGAAGTGCCTTGGTTACTTATTCAAGAAACAACATGGTTTATAGAAGATGAAAGAGGAAGATAGCCAGATGTACTGGCAGAGTTTGGAAAAAGAGAAATAGGAAGAAGAGATGAGTAGTTCAATGAGATTATGAACTTTGGAGAGAGAGAGAGATGGGGATGAAGAATTGTTAAGATCTGGTATTATATGTGCAGATATAGTCTCTCTTGGTTTCTTCCTCAAGAAAATCTTTGGCAAAGCCTCCATATTGATGGGTAGAGCATGCCTATGTACATTAGTGGTTACGATTGAAGGCTTTACGTTAGAACCCATTGATTGGGTTCCAGTCTCAGCTTTGGCATTCATCATGTGACTTTGGGCAACTTCTCAGTGCCCTGATTTGCTTATCTTTTTATTTTTTAAGTACCAGGGATTGAATTCAGTAGCACTAGGCCACTAAGCCACATCCCTAGCCTTTTTTTGTATTTTATTTAGAAACAGGGTCTCACTGAGTTGCTTAGCACCTCACTGTTACTGAGGCTGGCTTTGAACTTTTGCCTCAGCCTCTGGTTTGCTTATCTTTGAAATGAGTATAATACTAGTGTCTACCTTGTGTAGCTATTTTCAGGAGTCAATGAGATAATAAGATTGGATATGTTTAACACAGTTCCTGGATTAGTGACAGCCTGAGGTTTGTTAGACTTCATTTGTTTTTCAGAGACACAGAAGTTGATTTAGGAAAGCAGAAGCACATTCAAGAAAGAATGTGGGCTATCTGAACTGAGAAGCTTTGGGCATAAAGCAAGGAATACATTATTGTAAAGCAAGGAATACATTACATTCAAGGGAGGACATTGGCCATCTCCAAAGGCGTAACAGCTGTTAGCCGTCATTTCTATTATAATGATATAGTTTAAAAGATGAGAGATCTATAGGCATTGACAATAAAAAATGTCCAAGTATATTACCACAGTTCATTAAATGAAGATGCAAGTGACAAACACTGCAAATGTAAGATTCCATTTGTATATATATAAAATGAATGTCTGCAGCATACGTGCACAGGAATGCCACTCTCCACGATGATGGGTCTCAGGATGGGAACAAGAAAGTCCAGTTTCATTTGGATTATGTCCATGGTGTAGCTGAGGAAACAGACTTAAAAATTAAGTAACTTGCCTAAGGTCATTCTTGAAATGAACTAAGTTGTGATTGAAGTTCAAGTCTGCTTGACTCCATAGTCTGTGATCAGGCAGGAAAAAGAAGGGAAAGGAGTGAGTRATGTCAGGCACTGAAGGAGAGGAAGGCTGGTTGCATCCTGAGGCTTCTCTGGAGGAACAGAGGAGAGCTAGGTAGAACTGGAGCCTGCCAAGGGGCTTAGTGCTGAAATGGTTCTAGGGAGGTTTATTTGGAAGCTGTTGCTAATGGTGCTAATGGCCCCAGTGAACTGTGAGCCTGTGTGGTCAGAAGACGATAGGGCATGGAGAAGTGTCTGAAACCAGAGAGGGGGGACACTGTGCAGGGAGGAAAGGACCCACTCTGGGTGACATTGTAGGTGGTCAGGCACCAACTGTGTACAGAACAAGTAAGAGAGTGTTTGGAGGCATGGGGACTGGGGAGGGGATGGTGCAAGTGAGCTTGGTTTCATTGAGTTTAATGTAACAAGCTGCAAGGGAAGTCTGGAGCTAGGGCAGATGTTGTAATTGGAAATCACTATAGGATAAGTGTCCCTTATCTGAAATGCTTGAGACCTGAAGTAGTTCAGATTTTGGAGTTTTTAGATTTTGGAATATTTGCATAGACTTCAGTAGTTGAGCATCCTTAATCCAAAAATCTGAAATCCAAAATGCTCCAAAATCTGAAACTTTTTTTTTTTTTTTGTATCAGGGATTGAATCCAGGGACACTTAACCACTGAGCCACATCCCCAGTCCTTTCTATTTTTTATTTTGAGATAGCCTCTTGCTAAGTAGCTTAGGGCCTGGCTAAGTTGATGAGGCAGGCCTGAACTTGTGATCCTCTTGACTCAGTTTACCAAGGTGCTGGGATTACAGATGTGTATCACTGCATCAAGCTAAAATCTGAAATTTTTTTTTTTTAAAGAGAGAGCGAGAGAGAGGGAGAGAGGGAGACAGAAAGAGAATTTTAATATTTATTTTTTAGTTCTCGGCGGACACAACATCTTTGTTTGTATGTGGTGCTGAGGATCGAACCCGGGCCGCACACATGGCAGGCGAGTGCACTACCGCTTGAGCCACATCCCCAGCCCCAAAAATCTGAAATTTTTGAGTGCAACATTTCAGATTTGGGGGCATTTTGGATTAGGGATGCTCAACCTGTAATAAGAACGATAGCTAACATTTATTAACCACTGAATATATGTAGACCCTGTTCTAAATTCTTTACATACAGTATATTGATTTCATCTAAAAACTCTCTGATGTAGACCCATTTTAAATCCCATTTTTGTAGGTGAAGAAACCAAGTTCACATTTACTGAGCATTTACCGGGTACCAGGCAGGATTTGACTGGCCTGATTTCATTTATTCTCTAAAGCCATATCATGTGATAGGTGCTGTTATTGTCCTTGTCATAAGCATGAGCAAACTGATGTCCTGAGAAATTAAGAAATTTGCCCATGCTTATGCATGGTCAGGCTAGGGCTCAAAACCTGGGGATCCAACTCTAAAGCTGGTGTCCAATACCCCTTTTCAAAAGTTAGAGCAGGAGGTGGTGAGAAAATAAGAAGGGTTTTTCAGGAAGTGTGTTTGTTCAGTACTGACTGTTACAGAGCCAGGAAAGGGAAAATCCTGAACTTGACCCTGAGCTGTGCCAACTGGGAAGTGGTTGAGAACTCTTAGAAGTGCAGTTTCATAAGAGGTGTGGTTGAGTAGGGTGCCAGTCTGCAGGGATCAGAAAGCAGAAGCAGAAGCAGAGAGGCAACCCCAAGTTCTATAAGTTCTCTCCTGCCTTGTGTAACTGGCACCCAATAGGCAGGACTGTGTTCCTTTGTACATTCCTGCTTCTCCCTGGTGATGGTTAGCTTGCTTGACTGAGCTTCTCCTTCTCCTACCAAGAATCCTGTTGCCCTGGGTGATCAGAGGTGGTGCCCCACACAGCCTTTGGAACTAAACAGCCGGAATAATCCTGCCTGGAGTTAGGGAAGGAACTCTATAAATCATGGGTTTTTCCAGGACTCCATACCAACAACTGTTTACAATTTTCATTACACACAACAAAACATCTTACGTAGTAACAAGACTGTTAGTACTTAAGGCTGAAGATGGCCTTACCTGTCATGAGTACTTCTTAATTGGCACCTACAACTTTTTTAAGACCCACTCAGCACACTCAAGTTCGCTTTCTCTAGCATCCAGTCTAGGAAAGATCAAAACAACCATTTGCCCAGGGCGGCACCAATTGGCCATGGTATCCGGTGGTTTTATTGCTGTGTAATAAGGTTACTTATGCTCTTTAAGTTCCTTAATCACCATGTACATGGATTCTCATCTGCCTTTTCTTTATGCTACCACCAGTGGTTGCCTTAAGATATTAGGCAGTATGCACATTCAGACTTCTGAGAGCTATAAGGCAACTGTTGACACTGTTTACCTCCAGGGACTTGTTATTGGACTTCTGTCTGCCTAAGCAACAGAAACATAGCCTTGGGAACATTTTATTTTGGTTGGAAGGCAGCCTTGGTGGAGGCCTCTGAGGTCCTCGCCTAGGACATTGGCCCACAAATATTTCATTCTTACTGCAGAAAATAATCCCAGACTCTTTGCYTGTAGACTTTCTGGCATTTTACTGTGGAACTACTAATGGCAGCTAGACCAAGTGGCACACGTAACCACAGTTTCACACGTGGAGCAATTTTGTAGAACAAGTCCCCCATCTGTTTGGAGCATGGTATGGTGGGCAAACTGAAGCAGAGGTTTTCGACAAGTCCAGGTGCCTGGTTATGACAGAGCTGACACCTACCCAGGCGTCCTGACTCACTATGGTCAGTACCTTTTCTGCCACAACGAACTGCTCCTGGTACCAGAGTCGTAGGGAGTTCATTTCCTTGGCCATAAACCCCACGTCCACGGATGACATCAAGTCAGAAATGGTCAGAGTGCTTACTCCGAGCCAGAATTCCGGCCACAAACGAAATTGGCCTTGTGGCTGAAAGCGGATAACGTGAGGAACYGTTCCACACCATTCCCAGATCTGCCCAAGACGTGCAGCTACGAGGTAATGAGCATTTGGGTTGAGAAGCGTCGGCTTTAGGTGTTTCTGTGGCCTCCTTTTCCCGCCGTTTTCCAAAATGCAATGTTTCGAGTGCTCCCTTGCAAAGAGCAGTCTACAGATGAGGTCGCGCTGAAACTTAAACGAAGCGAGTACCTCCGACGCCGGCGGAGCCCTCAGGGTGGAAGCCKAAAATCTGCCCACTTACGCGGTGCTGGGAGCACCTAGAAAAGCCTGGAAGCAGCCGCACTTCCCGCCCCGCCCCCTGGCGCCCCAGCGCCGGGCCCGGAGCAGTGGAGAAGGCGGCCTCCCGCCGCCTAGAGGTGCCAAGTCCGGGCGTCCGCTCTGCCCGTCCCACGTCTCTATGGCGACCCTAACGGCCGACTGGGTCGCSGAGCGAGATGAGCGCGGGCGCTGACGGCGGCGGCGCTGCGGCGGCGCTGTCCCGAGAGGGTAGTCCCGCGAAGGATGGCTTCGTCCCGTCGGCACTGGGGACCCGAGAGCAGTAAGTGTGGTGCGGAATAGGGAGGGCGAACTGCGCTGGCCGGCCTGGGCCCGGGCGGGGGTCGGCGGGGCGGGGCCCGGGGGTGGGGGCGTGACGGCGAGGCCCGGGGCGGTGAGGGGCCTGGGGCGGTGAGGGGGTTGCCGGGAGGGCTCTCCGGGCCACCCGGGGGCCGTTAGCCCGTCTTTACCCGCGTGGAGCAAGAGGGGCTTGGGTGCGGGACGGGCTCTGAAAGCTTTTGGGGAGGCCATTTAGGGGTCCTGGGGTGAGGAGGCGGCGAGTGAGGGGCCGAGGGACCACCTCGGGACCTGGGGTTGAGATGGTCGGGACCTTAGGCGCCGGCGAGGATAGGCGAAGGAGACCCGCTGAGCCAGCGAGGAGGCGGGGGTGGGAGGCGGCGGCGGCGGCGGCTTGCGGTCCCAGCAGAGGCTGAGGCAGGAGCATCGCGAGTTGGAGGCCAGCCTGGGCAACATAAGGAGAATGAAAAGGCCTGAGGCTGTGGCTCGGTGGTAAAGCTATCCTGGATTCCATCCTCAGTACTGCAAAAAACAAAACAGACGTTCAGTAATTGTTCAGTGAATTATTAGACGAATGAAAATGTGGAAAAAAGTTTGGATGAGAAATAACTTGGAGGGGTAAGAGGGAGTAGGGATTCTTGAGATGTATAGGAAAACAATAGGGGTGTGTATGTAAAATGAGAGAAGTCTTAAGCGGAGTACTAAATTTTCACAGGGCGAAGTGGAGACATCAGAGGAAAGAGACTGGTTTAGAACTTTAATCTTAATTTAATCTTTAAGCAGATTTTATCAGATGGGTTTCTTTGTGAGCAACTGCTGTACTGGTAGCATCATCGAAAACCAAATATGCTGTAATGACCCTATGCTTGTACTGTCAAATTTTGGACATGGGTCTGGGATTTAAGAGATCCCTGGGCAGTGTTCTCTGTAATTTTTTAAGCTAAAATTAATATTTATTTTGCACGGATATTTTAAGTTCTTCATATGTAAACTTACTTTGCTGCCCACACTTTTCATTCTTTTGACTCAAGTATATTATGAAATTGAATTAACGTGCATTCGGTAACACTAATAAAATTTTTTTAATCCAAAATGTGTTTATTGGGATGTTTTCCCATTCATCTTGATTCAGGCTGCTTTTAGTGCTGCTTCCTCCTGAAGGAACATCCTTCTGTAAGTCTTGCTTTTCCTCCAGTAGGCTGGCAGAGGACAATGGAGCAGCCAACACACAAAACTATTGTTTGTGCATGGATGAAAACTGTGGTGATTTTATAGCATCCTGGGCATTTCATATCCATGGAATAGGAGTTGGGGCTCTGCACCAGGCGCTGCTTCTTGTGTTTCCGCTTCTTCTCTTCCAGAGAGGGATGAAGGAGATCCTTTGCGAGAGGCATATTCTCGTGGGGAGGTCGTCACCGCTGGAAAGAACAATAATGTTTTGAACCTGTTATAAGTAGCACTGTATTGTATTGAAAACATATATTTGCTTCACAGTTTAATACAGTTTAATTCTAGAATCTTGCTTTGCATTTCATTGTTTACATAGTTGGGATGCTGTCTATGAGAGAGAACTACAAACTTTTCAAGAATATGGAGATACAGGAGAAATCTGGTGAGTTAGAAAAGAATCAATTATGATCCCAAATACTATATGTCTATGTGTGTGTACACTTATGTCAAAGAAAACCAAGGCTAAAAATCTTGGGAATTCTGGGTTGAATCTGGTTTAAGTGGGTGGATTTAAAGTATCTCTTTCCTTTTTTAATGACCCAGTTTTAAGTTGTTAAGAGTATTAGGAAATTATTTTCATTCCATAGGTACTATTTTGCAATTTGCAATAAAATTTTAAGCCATCAACATATACTGATGTCTGAGATAGCAGTTTTTGGGACATTTTCACGTTTTAATGCTGATATAGAGAAATATTAATAAATAATACAGGGGCTGGGGAGGTGGCTCAAGCGGTAGCGCGCTCACCTGGCATGCGTGCKGCCCGGGTTCGATCCTCAGCACCACATACAAACAAAGATGCCGTGTCYGCCAAATAGTAAAAAAAATAAATATTAAAATTCTCTCTCTCTCACTCTCTCTAAAATAAATAAATAAATTCTGATCTTATATAAATAGTAAAGATCAAGAAAAAAAGACATGTGACTTTTCAATTCATCTAAATAAATAAATAAATAATACATTAACCTAGTCTATTCTCTTTTGAGTTTTTGAAGGTGTTTTCTCCTAAATAACAATAGAGACAAGTTTAGGTAGTCACAAATACTCTACTCACTTTCAAAAAAGACTTAATTTGGGGTATGATATACAGTTTAAATAAACTGGAGTTGTAATTTTTGCTCTGTATCTGTTATTTGTAACTTATTCTGTTTCTAACAGGTTTGGGGAAGAGAGTATGAATCGACTAATAAAGTGGATGCAGAAACACAAGATTCCACTGGATGCTTCAGTGCTTGATATTGGAACTGGAAATGGTGTTTTCCTGGTTGAACTTGTTGGTACTTTTAGTGTTCATGTGTTTAAACACAGTTTTAAATGAAATCATTAAGTCTTAAAATTGAGGATATTAATCATCTGTAAAGTAATGAAGCAGTCATACCATCTTCTCTGAGAAGTCACATGATACAAAAGTGATACTACATGGATTGTAAGAAAGCACTAAATGAATAGTGCCAGTCAGAATCCCAAATGCTATGATCCTGGATGTTGAAATCCCCAAAGATCAAAACCTCTAAAGTCTAAAATCCTGAGAATTACAATACTGAAAGATTAAATTCTGAATTTTTAGATCCTGGAAGCCCAAAATCCTGAAAAACGGCAAATTCTGTTTTTAAAAAAAGACTATATAARTGGGTAGGAAGTTGAATTCTGACGAAGGGATTAATATACTTTCAGTTATATCCATGATAGTTGTAAGATGAATACTGAGAAACTTGGCTAAGCATTATTTTTGGTGTGTGTTTGTGATATTGCTTTCCAGAGGAGGTTAATACCTGAGTCTGGCTGAATCTGAGTAGGTGGGGAAGATGCCCCTCGATGTGGGTGCGCACCATCCAGTAGGCTGGAGGCCTTGAGAGAAGAAACAGAAAACAAAGTTTTTTCTGCTGTTTTAGACATGAGAACTTCTGACCTTTGGACCTCAGGACTTAACATCAGTTGCTTCTGGGCCATTGTTAGGGTCTTTTGGCCTTGGAGTAAGAGTTAACACCATTGGCTTCCCTGGTTCTGAGACCTTTGAGCTTGGACTAAGCCATGCTACTGACTTTCCAGCTTGCAGACAGCCTGTCATGGGACTTTTTAGCTACCATAATTGTGTGGGCCAATTCTCCCAATTAATCCCTTCTTATATATCTATGTACATATCTCACTAGAGCACCCTGACTAATTAGAGATTTGGTATTGGGGAAGCTAAATATTCCTTATTACACATGGAAGAAATCTGTGAAATTGTTTCCTCATGAAAAGGCAGTGATAACTTAAGTATACTAGTCTACTTAACAGTAGAAGCTAAAAGCTAGTTATAATTGGTTCTGTTAAAACAGAAAATTACTTAATTGAATGACCAAGCAATAACTGAACTTTCAAATAGACAACATGTACTTAAAAGTTTGTAGATTAAAAACTACTTTTTTTTTTTTTTTTAAAGAGAGAGAGAGAATTTTAATATTTATTTTTTAGTTTTCAGCAGACGGACACAGCATCTTTGTTTGTATGTGGTGCTGAGGATCGAACCCGGGCCGCACGCATGCATGCCAGKCAACCGCGCTACCGCTTGAGCCACATCCCCAGCCCCTTAAAAACTACTTTCCAGCTAGGTGTGGTGGTGTACACTTGTAATCCCAGCAGCTGAAGCCTGAGGCAGGAGGATCGTGAATTCAAAGCCAGCCTCAGCAACTTAGCGAGGTGCTAAGCAACTCAGTGAGACCCTGACTCTAAATAAGATATTAAAAAGGGCTGAGAATGTGGCTCAGTGGTTAAGTGCCCCTGGGTTCAATCCCTGGTACCAAACATCAACAACAAAAATAACAAAAAARTAAACCCCCATTGTTCATAAAAATGCAGTGAGTGTCTGAAATATAACAGAAGGAGTGAAAATGCAGTGAAAAATACAAGAAATCTCCCCTGTCAAATCAGTTCTTCACTGCTCTTGCCCGTCCATACAACACCATGCTCACTTTCCAAGCTCAGGGACATTCTGAATCAAAGGTTCCTCCAGTGTCACAAAACACATTAAATGGTGAACTCTTCTTGCATAGAGGTTTGACTGTTGAAGAAGATAGACTTATATTTAACATAGACAAATGAGTATATGCCTTACTTTGGTTAATGGAAAATACTTTCAAAATTATCTCACTTAAAAAAATTTTTTTTTATCACCTACAATAAAGTTCATGTCCTTGTTGGATCTGAAACTTCAAGGACTTATTTGCTCCTTTCTGTATTAGTGACTAGAAAATATGAATTATTTATAAAAGGCTTATTTGATGATTTGATGGACTTTGCAGAAGAAGTGAATTTCTTATGTCATACCATAAAGACAGATTTGGAATTACATGTGATCAAGACTTCTAAAAATGAATGTCAAGGTATACCAACAAAGATTATTTTTTCCATTTAGTCCAGTGCATGGGACAGAAATTTCAGGTGAATGTATTATGCATGATGTGATTCAGCAAGGATTAAAAAGTTTAAAAATGTGTCATCTGTCTGCATTGGCATTCCTGATTCAAGGAGCTTTTAATGAATTAAATCCATATTTGCTTGAGGAGGCCAGTGATATCACTGACTGGTTTGAAAATAATTATGTGCTTTGTAGGATAAGATAGGCAATGATGGCCAGCCGCAGTGGCCCACAGTGGCTTGGGAAACTGAGGTAGGATGCAAGTTTGAGGCAAGCTCCCATAACTTAGTGAGACCTTGTCTCAAAGTAGAACTTAAAAAGGGTTGGAGGATGTACCTCAATGGTAGAACACACTTAGGTTCAGTCCCCAGTTGTTTCTGCTGAACTTGTTCTCTGTATATTGAATAAGTGTAGAAGAGTTTTCTGTGTAACCAAAACAACAGCATGGTGCAGAAAATGGAAAATTTTAATAGAGAATGATCATGTTGCTCTATATTGAATCATAGAAGAATTTCAAAATGAGCAGTATGACAGAAAAGGAATGTGCATGCATTCTCCACCAAGAACAATACTTAAGAAAAGAAAAATCAGCTATTTATCTCAGTGCAAGACTTAAAAATATAGTTAATGATCTTGAGAGTTGATCAGCACTTATGGACTACATCTGTTCAGTTGCCCATACTCTATTCCCATAACACATTTTTCTTATATTGAATTTTCAGATTATTTTCCTGCTTTTTTGTCAACATTTTTTTTATAATTGGTTATGCTTTGTATTTTGTCTTCACATCATTTTCAATAACAGAGGTATAAATTGTGTAAAGACTTTGAGAATTCTAATTTGCTTATGCATTTTTTTACAAATTAAATCCTGCAAATGTGCATTAGCAACAATSTTGAATTAGTATGTGAGCWTTATACTTGTACATAAAAATATTGAAAATTCCTCAGTAAATGAAGAGATGTCTTTTTTGTACATCTGCATTTTTGAAAGATAAAATTTCCTCACCTCTGTTCTTCAAGCAAATGCATGTGTGATACTAACACATTGTGGTTTTTGATGTCACCTAAAAAAATATAGGTTGTCTTTCACAATATTTATTTTTAAGGTTATCCCCCCTACCCTACCCCYAGTACTAAGAATTGAACCCAGAGGTGCTCTACCACTGAATTACATCTCCTGTCCTTTTTTTGTTTTATTTTGAGACAGGGTCATGGAGGCTGACCAATACTCCTGCTTCAGCCTCTTGAGTAGCTGGGATTATAGGTGTGCACCATTATAACTAGTTTGATTTTTTTTTTTTTTTTTTACAAATATTGTTTGTTCATAAATATTATACTTTTGCAAAGTGTTCAGTGTTAATGCTTGGAAAACATATGTTATTGTCTTATTATTTAAAGTGGCCTATGAAGCATTGTCATGTTTTATGTTTCTCAGATCTCTTTTTAAAAAATGTAAAATGCATTTTTTTTGGTACTAGGGGACTGAATCCCAGGGATGCTTAACTACTGAGCCACGTTCTCAGGCTTTTTTATTTTTTATTTTGAGAGAGGGTCTGGCTAAGTTGCTTAAAGCCTCGCTAAATTGTTGAGGTTGGCTTTGAACTCTCARTCCTCCTGCTTCAGCTTCCTGAGTGGCTAGGATTATAGGCAGACACCACTGTGCCTGGCATGTAAAATATCTTTATTGGAAAGATTATTTTTTTCAGCCAGGTGCAGTGGTGCATGCTTGTAATCCCAGCGGCTTGAGAGGCTGAGACTGGAGGATTGCAAGTTCAAAGCCAGCCTCAGCAAAAAGAGAGGTGCTAAACAACTCAGTATAGACCCTGTCTCTAAGTAAAATACAAAAAAAACAGGGCTGGGGATGTGGCTCAGTGGTCGAGTGCCCCTGAGTTAATCCCCAGTATCCTGCCCCCGTGAAAAAAAGATTATTTTTTTTTCAGATATATATATATATATATATATATATATATATATATATATATTTTTTTTTTTTTTTTTTTTTTTTGTAAAGAGAGAGAGAATGAGAATGAGAAATTTTTTTTTTTAATATTTATTTTTTAGTTTTTTTTTTTGGTGGACACAAAATCTTTGTTTGTATATGGTGCTGAGGATTGAACCCGGGCCACACGCATGCCAGGCAAGCGCGCTACCACTTGAGTCACATCCCCAGCCCCAGATTTATATTTTCAAGAGTTTGGTCTTTCAGGATTTTATACTTTAGGGATTTTGATCTTTTGTTCAGCATTCTGGATTATAATGTTTGGGATTGTGTCTTCTGGGATTTAAATCCCAGTGCCTTAATGAGAAGCCAGGGGATCTGAGTCTTAGTCTTGGTTCTTGCTATAGCCTTGACCTTGAGCAAGCACCTTAATATCTCTGGGTTTGGATTTTGACTAAGTGATTTCTACTGGTTTCTTCTAGCTCAAAACACTAGGAAGATGACCATTTGCAATTAGTGTATGATTTGTAAAGAGCATTTTGTCCATTCAACTGAATTTCAATACAAGTTCATTACTGGCTATAGCATCACTATAGTGTGCCTATAATGTGCTCATTGCTATGGAGAAAGTATAAGATTTAGACTTCATCCTAAATGGTTGGACAGCCTGATTTGTAGACACATGTATGAATGAGTGAAATGTATTGAGTAACAAGCATGTGCTAAGCCTTATGCTAGGTACTGGAAACATCAAAATTTAGATTTTGTGCTTGAATTTTTCTTGGTTTCATAGAGATGGATTGAAATGCAGATAGTTAGGTTATAGTTTGATCTCTGGTAATAGATAAACTCAGTACAGAAGAGAGGGACCTGTTATTTATTTTTCTCTTAAAACTAGGGATTGAACCCAGGTCTTTTACATGCTAGGCAA